AAAAAAAAAAAAAAAAAAAAAGAATATGATCAGGTTAAACCCCAGATTCCTAAGTAGAAAGAGGAGATGCTGGGCCCATCTGACCTACTCCCTGGGCATGTCTAGGTACAACTATTAACTGGATTAAGCACAGTAATATTTCACCTGCCAGAAGTTTGTTACACATGGCCGCATTCGGTTCCCACAACCCTCCACGAAAAAGGTAGGCATTGGCCCATTTAATAGCTGAGTACATATCCTCAGGGGATACGTTCCGAGACCCCCAGTGGATGCCTGAAACAGACAGCACCTGACCTTACACATAGGACGTTTTCTGATCTGATAACCCAGACCGCTCCTAAGTGACCAATGAGCAGGTAGTGTCTACAGCACCAATCTGCTGAACAAAGAGACGATTCACGTCTGAAGGAGGACAGTGTGAGATTTCATCACGCTCCTCAGAATGGCATGCAATTTAAAACTTATGAATCATATCTTTCCGGAATTTTCCATTTAATATGTTCAGATTGTAGTTGGCTACGGGTAACTGAAACAGTGGAAAGTGAAATTGTAGAAAAGGAGCCACTCTTGTAGACAATATAGGATCATAAAGGGTTAAGTCACTTGCTCAAGATCACAGAGCTGGCAAGTGGTGGAACCAGAATTCTAACCCATGGCTGTCGAGCCCCAGAGTTCACTTACTTTCTCTTTTACTTTCCCTTCTTCTGTCTCTGTCTCTCTCTCTCTCCTTCTTCTCTCTCTTTTTTTTTATTTCTTCTTTCTTCTTTCTTTCTCTCTCTCTCTCTTTCCTTCCTTCCTTCCTTTCCTTTCTTTTTTCTTTCCTCCCTCCCTCCTCCTTCCTTTTTTTTTGAGACAGGGTTTCACTCACTCTGTTGCCCACACTGGAGTGTGGTGGCACAATCTTGACTCACTGCAACCTTGACCTCCCAAGGTCAAGTGACCCTAACACCTCAGCCTTCCAAGTAGCTGGGACTACAGGCACGTGTCACCATGCTCCACTAATTTTGGTATTTTTTTCTTTTTTGCAGAAATGGAGTTTTGCCATGTTGCCCAGGCTGGTCTTGCACTCCTGGGCTCAAGGAATCCACCTGCCTCAGCCTCTCAAAGTGCTGGGATTAGAGGTGTGAGCCACTGTGCCTGGCCAGAGTTCACTTTCTTTTCCATACATCGTAAGTTCCAAACCTGGCTAGATACCTTAATGAGCTGGAGAGCTTGTTTAAAAATCTGATTCATGAGTCCCACTGCTGAAGTCTGACTTGGCAGGCCTGGGCTGGGCCCTGGGAATCTGTTTTTATTACGTTCTCAGCTGATGATCTGAGCAAGGCGTTGCTGGGATGGACCACATCTGTGTCTGCTAGAAGGTCCTGTCAAGAGAGTCAGGGAACCCCCAGCAGAGCCCCAGAAACCAACTGTGGGCTCAAGGAGGAGGTTCCATGGCCAGGACTGATTCATCAGCTGTGGTAGTTCCTGTTGTGCCGGCTTGGTTAGGCTGGAACTACTTTTCCCAGAATCCCCTTCTCTGACTGGTTCTAGGTTTTAATTGGTCAAAAGAGGAAGCTGTGGAAAGCTGGGAGATGGAAGTGAAGCAGCGGCCATTACACTTTAGAGGTCATCATGACTGGATGCTGTGAGAGACAGCACAGTGGGTGCCAGCACATTTGAGCCTGTCCTCCATTCTGCATCCAGCTCTTTCTCCTGACTGCTGGTCCTGTTAACCAACAGCAGCCCAGGCCCACCCCTGGACACTTGGCTGGGGATGGACCAGACAACGGGCTGGCTGTATAGACTTCTCCACCAGCTTGCCCGTATACCCAGGACCTGGTGGTAATGCCCCTGACCTAAGATCCAGGTGGTGATGCCCCGATAAGATCTAATTCCTATAATAAACCCCTTATCCCATAGGTCATAGAAGTTTGGCTTCTCTCACTGACCCTGAAGGATGCCATCATCCACTCTGTCCTGCAAACCTTTTGATCTAAAAGAGCGGTCTTCCAGGTGTGGCCCCAAATCAACAGCATCAGCGTCACCCAGGAGCTGGTTAGAAATGCAAATCCTGGGGCCTCACTCAGACCTACTCAATCAGCAAGTGGGGATGGGGGATGTGGTGGGGGATGGGGGAAGGGAGAGCCCAGCAATCTGTGTTTTAATGAGCCCCCCACCCCAGAGGATTCTAACACAAGCTGAAGATGCAGAACCACTCATGCAGGTATTTAGAAAACCTGCCTCTAGGGAGGCCGAGGCGGGCGGATCACAAGGTCAGGAGATCGAGACCATCCTGGCTAACATGGTGAAACCCTGTCCCTACTAAAAATACAAAAAATTAACCAGGTGTGGTGGCGGGCGTCTGTAGTCCCAGCTACTCGGGAGGGTGTGGCAGGAGAATGGCGTGAACCCGGGAAGCGGAGCTTGCAGTGAGCCGAGATCCCATCACTGCACTCTAGCCTGGGCGACAGAGCGAGACTCCATCTCAAAAAAAAAAAAAAACCTGCCTCCATTTCTGTTTGGGATGATGCAGTAGTTCTGGAAAAAGACAGTGGCGATGGTCACACAGCACTGTAAATGTGCTTAATGTCCCTGAATTGTACACTTAAAAATGGTTAAAATAGGCCAGGTGTAGTGGTGACTCACGCCTATCATCCCAGCACTTTGGGAGCCCGAGGTGGGCAGATCACTTGAGCCTGGGAGTTTGATACCACTCTGGGCAACATGGCAAAACCCTGTCTCTACCAAAACATACAAAAATTAGCTGATGTGGTGACACGCGCCTGTGGTCCCAGCTACTTGGGAGGCCGAGGTGGGAGGATCACTTGCGCACAGGAGGCAGACATTGCAGTGAGCTGAGATCATGCCACTATACTCCAGCCCGGGTGACAGAGCAAGAACTTGTCTCAAATTTTAAAAAGGTTAAAATAGTTTACAAACAAACAAAAAAGCTCAGAAGCCATACACAAAAGGTCACATATTATGTGATTCCATTTACATGCGATGTCCAGAAAGAGAGAAAGGAGATAGGTGATTGCCAGCAGCAGGGGTTGGCGGGGGAGGGTGGAGATGGGGACGGAATGCTTAATGGGTACGATGCTTTTTGGGGCGATGACAATGTTTTGGAACTAGATAGAGGTGGCAGTTGCACAACTCTGTGAGTGTACAAGATACCACTAAATTGTTCATTACCACATGGTTGATGTTATGCTTTGTGGATTTCTGGGGCTTGCCATTGTATCTCTGAGAGTTAGCATTTACTGAGATGCTGTGCTAAGGCTTCATGTGCAGTGTCATTTCATCCTCACCCCGATCCTGGAAGGGTGGCATTATTATTCTCCCCATTTAATGGATGTGGAACCCAGGCAGTCTAACTTCAGAATCCATGCTTTGAACGAAAATGCCATTATGCCCAGAACCATGAGTTATTTCTTTGTGTAGAAGACAGAAATGAGACATCAGCCAAAGCTGCCCTGATCACACTTAAAAGCAGTATCCTGGGCCGGGCCCGATGGCTCACGCCTGTAATCCCAGCACTTTGGGAGGCCAAAATACAAAAATTAGCCAGGCGTGGTGGCACACATCTGTAATTCCAGCTACTCAGGAGGCTGAGGCAGGAGAATCACTTGAAACTGGAAGGCAGAGGTTGCAGTGAGCTGAGACTCCATTTCAAAAAAAAAAAGAAAGATTAAAACAAAAAAAGAGAAGCATCCCAGTCACCTAGCTTTACCTTGCCCTGCAGCAGAGGGCCAGGGCAGAGGAGGGAAAGGAGGAAGCTGGCTTGCTCACGGGTCCATACTCCCAGGCATTGAGATAAAGCCTCACGACTGTCAGGTGTGCTTGGCTTAGATTTGGAATGAACTTATTAGAATGGAAAGATTTTCAAAAATAATTATGACAGTAACACCTAAAAATGTATTGAGCATGTACTGTTTTAAGTACTTTTATAGTTTAATCTTCACAAAATCCTACAACTATTCTCCCCATTTCGAGAAAGTGAGCCGTGGCTCAAGGTCACCCAGATCATTAGAACCATTTGAACTTAAAGCTGTTACTTTAATACAAAGTCAAACATGTTTCTCTGTGGGAAACTCAGAAAGTACAGGTTAGAAAAGAGAAGATAGGGAGAGAGGAAATAAAAATTACTTGTAATCCATTAGGAATAATCATTGGAAACATTATATTAAATAGTTAAATTTTTATTCTTTGTGTATTTTTTTGAAACAAAAAATGGACAGCTTCATAATCTGCCTTTTTACATTAGCAAATTAGATCCATCTTTCTACATCTTTCAGAGCCTTCTGAGTCATCGCCATTTTGAATGGCCATGTGGTGTTCCCCTTGTGTAACCTTTGTAGAAACCATAGCAGGTTTTCCAGGCTTTTCTATGGGACATTTGGGTTGTTTCTACAAGAAGACATTTCAACTGGGAAAAAATGTTTTAATGAGGTTGCTGAGATGTCTCAAACTTCCTCCCTGCAATGAGCAGTATCATGGTGGAAGGGTGATCAGCTTTTGGGGGTTGATATTCGCTAGTGGAAAGACCCAAGCACCAGGCAACATAGTCTCATGCACATTTATTCCAGGGGCACACTTTTGGTGGGGGAAAGGCTCTCATTTTTATGTGTGGAACCTGAAAATTCTCACCTGAAGACAAAGTAAAAAAAAAAGTCTCTCAGATTTACCCATCTCACTCCTTAAAAAGAAGAGCTTGATTCCTTGGCAACAAGGAACAAATGTTCCTGAGGATCCCAAGTTACCTCCTACTTCCCAGTTCTGAAGTTACATGCCAGGTAGATCTAGTTAGATGCCAGTACTTTTGCTTCTCACTATAGCATAATAGTTCAGAATACAGACTCTGGAATGAGACTGGCTGGGTTCAAATCCCGACTCCATCACTTTCTAGCTGTGGGCCCTGTTATTAGCTAACTAAACCCTTGGAGAGGAAGTGCTGAAGATAGAAGCCTGGGTCTCTGAATGACTGTGTGGAGCCAAAACCCCACCTTCCCACCCAATACATGAAAATGTAACTGGAGTGCCTTTAGTCCTTGAGATGTGGGGTAGTTTGCACCGTAGCTAGCATACTCCTGCCTTGGTTTCCCCAACATAGAACTGTTTTGAGCATCAAATTACTTAAGAGTCATGGGAAAGCTTGGTTGCTCCCCACTCCAACTCCTGATGTTGACTTAACAAGGATAATCCCCAAACATCTGTAACTTTTATCATGAGCCAGATATGGCTGTGCCTCCCAGGAATTTCCCTAAACTCTTCTTGAATATTTTTCAGCCTGAAGCCCTCTTGTGGGAAGCAATTTTGTCTACTCCTTTCTGTGAGAAGTTCTCAGTCACTGGCTCGCCCTGGGAGAGAGAGTGCATGTGTTGTAAAGCTACCAACAGACTTCCTCAGACACAGTGAGTCAGTCTGAACACACAGGCAAGGTTGCAGAGCTCCATGGCCTTCGTCCCTCTTGGCTCAGCCAGGCACAGTTCCTCTTAGCCCAAGACAAAACTTAGCCTATGCTGTTAAATCAGTGGTTCTACCGGCTTCCAATCATAAAACCAAGGGGCAATAATACGTAAAATGGGAACTTATACATTCTGAGTTACAGCTAATTGCAGATGTATCCAAGCTCATTCTACATTTATCGACCATTTGTCTGTAAAAGACTGCCTCTATAGTCCTTCCTTCCTTCTTTTCTTCCCTACCCCTCTTCTTTCTTTTGGTGCACAGATCCCTTTGAGAATCTGATGAAAGCTACTGACCTGCCACAGATAAATGCAGAGATAGAATACTTGACAGAGAATGCTTGACAGACAATTTCAGCGGGTCCTTAAAGGTGATTGAGGACCCTCATAGAAGTTATTACAAGTTTGAAATTACCCAACAATTTCATAATGATCCTGACCACTATAATACTTTATTGCTTTGATGACCAGGCAAACATCTAAAAGCAGCATATAAAAGCATCATTATATGCAGAGACAATTTCTAGAAGTATATACAAGAAATCGCAGATGGTGGCTACCTCTTGTATAAGGGACTGGGAGCCTGGAATGAGAGGGAGATGGATATTTTTTCTTTGGACATCCTTTTACACCGTTTGATTTTTTATATCATGTGCATATATTAGTTTCCTAATTAAAGAAAAAGAGTTAATGAAAAAGTTATTTAAGTTAAGAACTATCACTACTCATGGTCATTTCCATGTCTGTGATATGGGAAGGGGAGAGTCATCAACGGGGAGGCGGTCAACCTCCTCCCTAGCAGGGTGAAACCCACATCAGCTGGCAAAGTGAAAGCGTCACTCCAGAAAAGACAAATGGTTTCTACCGGGTCTTCGATATAGGTCACTGAAATTCCAAATGGCAGGGGAGGATATTATCAATGTTTCATCAGGTCCCTGCATAGCCCTGGTGCTGGCCAGAGGAACTGGCCCAAACCTTCTAAGTTTGGTCATTTCATATAAACATACACTCACATACAAACCCAACAATTCCACTCCTAGGTATTTGCCCAAGAGAAATGAAAACATACACTGATACTAAAAACCTCTGAATGTTTAATCATAATCACCAAAAAGTAGACACAATCCAAATATCCTTTTAACAGGTGAAGGGATAAGTAAACTGTGGTCCTGCACATTTATACCATGGAATAAATGCAGTGTGGGGAAATCTCAAATGTATTCTACTGAGCAGAAGCAGCCAGACTCCAGAGTCACCATACTGTATGATTCCATTTATGTGATATCCTAGAAACGGCAAAACTATAAGGACAGAAAACAGATCAGTGGCTGCTGGGGGGTGGAGATAAGAGAGACTACAAAGAAGCAGCAGGAGAGAATTTGGGGGGTGATGGAACTTTTCTACATCTTGATTGTGGTGATGGTTACATGACTGCCTGTGTTTGTCAAAACTCATCGAACTATGTTCAAATTGAAAATTACATACCTGTATATAAAATACAATGCTGGGCGAGTATTTTCTTTCTTTCCTTTCTTTTTTGACATAGAGTCTCACTCTGTCATCCAGACTAGAGTGTAGTGTTGTGATCTTGGCTCACTGCAACCTCTGTCTCCTGGGTTCAAGGGGGTTCTCCTGCCTCAGCCTCCCAAGTATCTGGGATTACAGGCACCTGCCACCACGCCCAGCTAATTTTGTATTTTTAGTAGAGACGGGGTTTCACCATGTTGGCCAGGCTGGTCTCAAACTCCTGATCTCAAGTGATCCACTCGCCTCGGCCTCCCAAAGTGCTGAGATTACAGCGTGAGCCACCGCGCCCAGCCTTGGGGTGAGTATTTTCTTAGTTGGCTATGGCTGCTGTGGCTTCCACCATGCTCCTATCTCAGCTTCCTAAGTCTAAGAAGGGAGGCCCAGATACTCGAAGTCTGAAGGGTAAGCCAGTCACCAGGAGCGGCAGCTGATGTCTTCAAAGCTCTCTACAGTTCCCAAAGCACCTTGCCTGGCAGTAATCCCTGTGGGATGCATAACAAGCCTATGGGTCTTCAGCACAGGTCACTAAAGTTCCAAATGGGAGGAGAGGGTGTTATCAACAACAGTTTTCTCTTGTTATGAAAACAATGCTTGTTTATGAAATAAAAATTAGTTAAATATAGACTAGCAGAAAGAATA